CGCGGAGCACCTCGAGTCGCGCTCGTTCCACGAACAACACCTGCCGCCGCCGATCGCCGTACATTCGTGCACGCTTTGTTCGTCCTCTTGCCTGTGACTCCTTCTCGAAAGTGCTAACCCTATTTGTCATCGTCGTAATCGATCGATCAGACCATTTTAGGGAGAAAGATACCTGGACCGAAAAAAGCTCGGTATCATGGATCGTAAAAGCAAATTAATCGAAGAAACGCGCGTCCACGCGAAAGAATGAGACTCGCCGGTTCCAGAGAAGCGACTGCAAAGAATCTTCGTTGATATCGATTAAAGGATATTGAGGCAAGATGTTGCTACCTCAAGATATGATGGCAGCCCAGTCGAAGATGCTGTATCAGATGAACAAGTATTATGGCGAACGGGTGCAGGCTCGAATGGGCCAAGTACAAAAGACCATCCGGGAAGTGTGCAAGGTGGTGCAGGAGGTTTTGAAGGAGGTCGAGGTTCAAGAACCACGGTTTATCTCCTCCTTGACCGAGTGCAACGGCCGCTACGAGGGCCTCGAGGTTATCTCACCCGGCGAATTCGAGGTGGTCCTCTACCTGAACCAGATGGGAGTATTCAACTTCGTCGACGACGGCACCCTGCCGGGTTGCGCGGTGTTGAAACTCAGCGACGGTCGGAAGAGGTCCATGTCGCTCTGGGTGGAGTTCATCACCGCCTCCGGCTACCTGTCCGCAAGGAAGATTCGTTCGAGATTTCAAACACTGGTGGCACAAGCTTGCGATAAGTGTGCCTACAGGGACTCCGTGAAGATGATAGCGGACACCACGGAGGTAAAGCTTCGTATCAGAGAGAGATACGTGGTGCAGATCACGCCGGCGTTTAAATGTTCCGGCGTGTGGCCAAGATCGGCGGCGCACTGGCCGATTCCTCATATACCGTGGCCGCATCCGAACCTTGTGGCGGAGGTTAAGACGGAAGGATTCGACCTGCTGTCAAAAGAGAGCGTGGCGCTTCAAGGAAAACAGTCGGCCATGGAGGGTGACGCCTGGGTTCTCTCATTCACGGAGGCAGAAACGAGATTGTTGCAAGGTGGCTGTCGTAGACGATGCTTAAGCATCTTGAAGACTTTGAGGGACAGACACCTGGATCTTCCGGGAAATCCAGTGACCAGTTATCATATGAAGACGTTGTTGCTCTACGAATGCGAGAAACATCCCTTGGAGACCGAGTGGGACGAAGGATGTTTGGCAGATCGCATTAACGGAATCTTCCTGCAGCTGATATCCTGCCTTCAGTGTCGAAGATGTCCTCATTATTTCCTGCCTAATCTGGATCTGTTCAAAGGAAAGTCGCCAAGCGGCTTGGAAAACGCGGCTAAACAAGTGTGGAGACTGACGAGAGAATTACTAACCAACAGTCGTGCACTGGAGAAACTTTAGCTGAACCGGGAATTTCGCTTTTGAAGTTCCAAATTGAGGAATATAATAAAGAGAAAGACAGAGACAAGCGAAAGTTGGAGGAACGTTGGAGGAACGTTGAAGGATTCGGTGACTCGCGTGAATCACGATTTTCAGGATGCTGCTTTCGCGACAGTTCTTTGCCTGCTTTTTACCCTCGTAAACGTGGGAAGCCTACTTTCACTCGCTATCTTCTTGCACACGCTGCAGCGTACCAGGGTATAGGGATGGTGTAACAAGTTTCATTACGGTTATCCCTTTCCTCTTCCTTTCTTCTCTTTTTCTATTATTTAATAGTTTTTAAACCATGGTACGAATAATGCGAGTCAAACGTTGTTCAGTGCAACGTTTCGTTCCAGTGCAATATCGTACAGCCAGTGTCCTGTTTCGTACGAAAGCAATTGTTGCTAGGTTCTACGTTGATTTTGTATAAATCGAATATTTCGTTTCGAAATGGGCACGTTAAATTTTGTAGACTGAATCGAATGTTAATCGAGGTGTCCACCGATCATTAGAAATACGTACTAGTTTGGAAGATATTAGTATTACTGCGTTTTTTATACGACTGAAGCTTTCGCTTGGAGCGGAATCTCCTGCTTATTAACGCAGCTCGAACGATTTTTCTACGTAGCGTTGCAGTATGTGAGAGATTAAATAGATACTCGGTTAGCTACTCTTATTCATCTAATGGCTAATGTGAATTGTCGTGTGATCCGTTATCGTTAAATTAATCTAATGTTTATGATCGGTTAGCAATCGAGCTGCCGACGGTAGCTTGGCCACCATATTGTTGTATGTACATAATTCTTTATATTATTTAAACGATATTTATTTCTCAAGAGAATCGCTGTTCGAACACATAATGTAAATATAAACTAATAAATGCATTTCGTCTCATAATAAGAATGCATGTAATTGATTTGAAACCTTTGCTTCGAGTTACTGTGATTAATATGAGATTATTAAAACTTGAATTTTTAACATCATAAATATTTTAAATCCAAAAAGATGGAAATTAATTGTTTGAATTAATAAATCATATGTCTTCAAAAACATCCCTAAACTTTTCCTTCATTCTTAAGAACTATCCAAATAATTTTCTTTCATCGTATAAATCAATTGGAAAACGGAGAATTTCAATAAACCGGTAACTGAATTGTTTCTCATCAATTATTTCTCCCACGAAAGTAACTTTAGTCCAATAGTGGCGTGTATTTTATGTAACTTTCAATACAAATCTAACGATGCATTAGAAGAATCAGTGAATATTAACAATTCTGACGACGATCCTCTACAACTAGACTGAAGTTGATAAAAGACTGTCGCTTAATTCAAATCTCTTTCACAACTATCCTCCCATAACAATCTTTCTATCAAACATAAAATTTGCATTCCAAATAACGAGATCCGAAATTTCGTACAGTCGTCCGATTTCAATCGTAGCCAGTTCTAAACGAGAACATAAAAACCATCACGGCGTAATTATTATCTACGATATTAACACTCGTGCGCAGGATGCCGAAACGACCTCGTCAAAGGCATCGCTACCGAGTTTCATGGTCATTATACGCCTACGAGGCGCGAGCCGTGTCCCTTATCTTAATTCTTCCCAGAAACTTCCATCCTTATCTTCCCAGCGCAATGACATTCGTTAACCGCTGCCACTCACTCTCTGCACGCCGATCGTTTGGGAATTTACGTTATTATTATTGGCCCGTAAAAACAAAGTGAGAGGAAAACGTTGGAACCGGAGAGCTCGCGCTCGCGAGCGGCAACACTTTACGCGCGCCGTATCGGGCAGTTGCCTCGCGATTTACAAGCCTTAATGGGAGAGTTATCGTTGTCGTCGTTAAATGTACATTTTATACGGAGCTTTTTTCGCCGCGTGCGTCCGGTCCTCAATAAAAACGCTCGTAAACGAAACTGTCCCCCATCTTCGATAACTCAACCGACCGCGTCAGCGTCGCGCGCGAATTTCTTATTTCAAGTCGAAGCACCTTTTCGCGAAATGTTACCGGGACCATATAGATAGCGACAGAGTAGTATCGTTAGAGGAAACCACGAAAACCTTATCCGACCGAACGAAGATCGGGAATCGACAAACCAGAAACAACTAAAAATCCGCCACGACTACGACTAGGTTTCTTCGCTTAAGTAACGAAGCGTGATCGGCGAATCTTCCACCATGACGAAAATTTGGGGGTTCGAAGGGGTTGCGGAGGAATGGCCGAGCCCCATGGTATCTATGAGCACGAAATAAAACGAGTCGGATCTGCATAATTCATGGGGGAAAAGGGGTTTGCGTTTGGGGTTAGCCGCCG